CCCCGCGTCTCAACCTACACCCCCCCAGCCAAACCCCCCCCCCCAACCCTCCCACCCCCCCCCCCCAGCCCACCCCTGCTGATTTCTTGGGCCAGGGGCTGATAGAAATTTATGATTAAAATCTGTGCAGCTCAGACTCCTCGACCCACAGAGGCTGGTTAACCCCTTCAGCCCGGAGTGGGGGAGCTGCAAGAGCCAGATAAAAAAAACTAAACAAAACAAAAAAACAACAATCCTGTTTGTTAGGTGATGCGCAGCTAAGGCCACGTCAGCCTGTTTACAATTCCTGATATGCAAATGGAATCGGCTTTGACCTTTGAGCCTCGCTGGTAGAATGCGAACTGTACGCAGCGAGAGGTGGACGAGGCTTTGTGGCTTCTATTACTGTGGGGGTGGTGCAGGCACCGGAGCCGACACGTAAACCGCATTGACCTTTCTTATTCATTTAGACCTTTAGTCAAGGGCTTCGGCCATCATCTTTAAAGTTATAGTCTCTGATCCCCCCCACTCTCCTCGACTTTAAGTGTCGGAGCATGGCTGTGTGGTCTTTATCCTGCCTTCTTCTCTGACTAAATCCTGATTGCCTCCTCCACAGCCTGAGGTTGGGCTAGAGATGCATCTCATATACAGCGCAGTAATCCATAGAGTATAAACACACACACACACACACACACTCACAAGAAAAAGCCAAGATACTGCGGATAAATCCGAGGGATCACCTCCTCCGTGTTTAGCAAAATGTCTCTGCAGAAAGACAATTATTTGAAAAGACAAAATGGCAGCGACTACATTCCATAATTACTGAGCATCAGGACTCGCAGAGAGCTCTGCAACCCTTCATATATAAAAGACACAGTTATGGAAATAACACGGTGCTGCTGGCTGACACTCAAGGGCCTTCTATGTATTTAAGCGAGTGCTGCATTAAGGAGGATCATCTTAAAACTTGAGGCGTGAAGCAGAGAGCACTTGAGCTATCTTCAGACTGGGGAGCACAGGGCACCGCGCATTCTAATTCCAGTCTCGATTCGCCGATGCGGCCGAGGTGTGTGTGGGCAAGGCGTGCTGCTCTTTCCCATGGAAATCAATAGAGGCTTGTAATTAAACAAAAGGGGGTTGGCCAGGGGGGGAAAAAAACAACAACCCCCTTCGGAAAGTAGGTTATGTAGAAAAGTGCCGAGCTGTCCAAATTGTGGCTTTGCCAAGAACTAAATATGCAATTTCAGAGTGTGTGGGAGCAAAGAGAGAGGAGCATTGTCAAACATTAGCACACTTCTCTGTGTAGGGACTTTAATTTTTTATGAGTCTGATTGATCGGCTGCTCAGACTTGGAGGACTGACTCGTTAAAATAATGTTTGTGTTTGTAAAGATGAAGGAACAAGGATGCTGGAAATAAAGAAAGAATGATTGATGATTAGAAATCTGCTCAAAAGAACAAAGGGCTGTTTTATCATGAGGAGAATTAGGTTTTTGTGTGACAGGAAGAAGCGTTTTGCATACAAAGCACTCACACGTGGCAAGATTGGATTCATCACACAACGCTTCTGTCAAATTACAGAACCAACCCACAGATAACTCATCTTTAGATAAGAGGTTTTGGTGTGATTGCTGTAACGTTTTGCTGAATGGAGGATGTACACATGTGCTCTCAGAGCCAAACAATCAAAGATCAATAATTGTGAAGGGATTGCAAGAGTGCACAATCATTACCTATGAACCCCATTGTGTTGTTGGGCTTAATCAGTTGAGCTGCTGACAGAGAGCGAAAAGCAGTGATCAACTGGGCAGGCTCACACACACGTACTGCTCACAGACCCCCGCAGTGAGCAGACCACTTGCAGATACACACACACACACACACACACACACACACACACTCGTCTATGCTCATCTCATGTTACTGTGTTCACTTGGATCTCTTTCTGTGCTCCGTGTATCAGATGGGCCCTCGGTCCCTGTGGAGGGACAACACTGTAACACGGCACTGTACAGCGTGCTGTCGTGTCTTCAATCCACATCCCCAAAGAATATTAAATGTCAAGCAGCAGATTACAATGTGCCTTTCAAAAAAAATCTTTACCCTATGAAATCTGTATAAATACTACTAGGCCTGCAACAAATGATTTTTTGGCTATCGATTCATTTCTGTATTATTTTTTTTTACAAATAATCATATAAGTAAAGTTTATAAAATGTCAGAAAATAGTGAAAAATTAAAAAAATAAATCACACATTCTCTGAACCCAAAGTGACATCTTGCTTATTACAAATTACTTATATTCTGACCAACAGTCCAAAAAGCAAAAATGCATTGAATTTACAGAAAAACAGAAAAGGGCAGCAAATTGCTGGAACCAGCAAACGTTAGGCATTTTTGCCTCATATGTGAATTTTATTAATTCATTATAAAATAGATGTCAGTTAATTTTCTGTCGGTCGACTAATCGATCCAGCACTAAGCATTACATGCGCCTCCAGTTAGGCAATAACCTCTTGTTCTCCAGATATGAAGAATCTCACAAACCTGCAAGGTGCTGCCTCCGAGCAGAACAACATTTGTATTTAGCCTCGCAGTAATTGTCTCAGTGACGACGTTGATAAAAGACGCCTGGCAAAAGCTCAAGTCTAATTTGCATCAGCTACCTTGCCAACTCAAGTTCAGCCGCACGCTGAGCAGATATAAATCACTGCTCGAATTAATCAATCGCTCCAGAATGGCATATCTGCACAAATTATTTTGTGGGCTCAAAAGCGATTAAATTGCCAACCCTGCTCAAGCTGATCTTCATGGTTCATTTAAGAGGAGGGCAAATGTCTGTGGCTTTTTTATTGTAGCTACTGTACAAATCAATAGGAGCTGTTTGGGAGCAAAGTAAACAAAGGAACGGCACATATGGCCCTTTCTTGCTCAAACTGTCCTCAATGTGCTGCTAAGTTCTTATTATCCAGGCTGTTGAGACAATAGACAAACCAGTGGTACATTCACAGTGGTGTGAGGAAGGGAAACATCAGTATGATGCTTTTGCTTTTCCTCATGTCTCAACCTGAGCTGCATACTGATTGCTGGAGAGGAGATTTTTTTTGGAAGACATGGAGAAGGAAGGTGTTTGGGGAAAACTAGGGGAGAGAGTGTGTCTGTTTGTTGTTGTGGTTTCTGTATGAGCGTGAGTGTGTATGTGTGAGGCAGATAGAGAGCAAAGCTAGATCTTACCCTCCAGCCGGAGCGAGGCCATTCTTTGAAACTCGGGTTCCTGGAGCCAGCGGGACATCCTCTTAAAGGTCTCGCGGCCGGACTTGAGCTTGCCCCAGGGCTTGGGGTTCCTCAGGAGGTCAGACAGCGTGCCCTGTGACCTACACAGAACCCTCTCGGCGAAGATGGCCTGAGGGATGCTGTACCTCTTCAGCTCTGTGATGATCCTCTGGGCCACATCCCTGGTGTTGATCTCCTCCCCGGCGCCGCCTCCACCGCCCGGCAGCATGCCCTCGCCGGGCGAGGATGAGGCGGACGATGAGGAGTGCAGGTGCTCGCCCATCTTGGAGGCCTGCTGGCTTGGGTGATGGTGGGGCTGGTAGTGCTGGCTGTAGAGGTGAGGGTGGTGGCTGGGGGCGTGCTGGTGAGCCTCCATTTTGTTCAGCTGATGCCCCACTGACACTGACACATCGCCTCCTCCTAGGCCTGGTGGTGACATCTCACGGCCAAAATCTGATGTCCGGCAGAAGAGGCTCCCCCCGTGGACGTCGTAGCCACCGTGGAGCATCTGGCCACCATTGCCATTCGGGCTGTTGCCCAAGCTGCCATAGCCGTGCATGGAG